AGGTGGCAAGGAGTGAGGAGTCCCGGACTGCAAGAGGGCACAGGCCGGGCTGAGGGAACCCCCCTCCCCTCAGTGCACAAATTTCGTGCACCAGGCCTCTAGTGGGCTATAAAAACTCAGAGCTCTGACCACCCAGTCCTCAAGCTTGGCTGTACCAAGGGTCATGCTCGGAGCCCTGTCAGACTTCCACTCCACTGGACCTGTGCCACCACTGTAGCCACCTGGCTTGAGGATGACACCGCCTCTCCACCTGTGATGCTGCCAGTGACTGGGACTTGGCGCCAGATGCTTGCTCAGCTCACTTCTATTGCATAAGCTCCCACTCTTTGTGTGTAACCTGTGTGTGATTCTATTGGCTTTTTAGGGAGGTCTCCCCTAACTAACCAGTGATTCCTTTTAGGGATGCTCCCTTGCTCACCACAATGAGGTATGCCTCAGTAATAAAATAAGACAGACTCCCTAGGGGCTTACATTCTAGAGTCACACACAACCACTGGGTTATCCCGACCTTTTATAAACAAGTATGCACTCACAGGGCTCACAGGAATCTATAATAATAAAAGCGTAATATGCTAATTAGACCAGAGAGCCGAACGACCTCCTGGACATCCTTCCGGACGAAGCCGAGGGCCGAGCCTCTTGCATGAATTTCATGCATTGGGCCTCTAGTGAGAGAATAAATGGTGAACACTGCAAAAATGCAAACAGAAAAAGGCCAATCTGATGTGCACTGTGCAGTCTATCCCCAATCTGGTCTCTTAGTAACAAGATGGAGAAAATAGTAAGAGAGGCCTTAGCCATTCAAAACTATCTTACTGTCAAACCCAGGCCATACTAAGCAGTTCATTTAGGGATCATTGTAAGCCAGGGTGGGGAATCTTTTTTCTGCCAAAGGATATTGGATATTTATAACATCATTTTCGGGCCATACAAAATTATCAACTTAAAAATTAGCCTGCTATATTTGGTCAAACATTTAACTAACTCAACCATAATGCCCTGGCAGGGCCAGACCAAATGATTTCTCAGGCCTTATACGGCTCAAGGGCCAGACATTCCCTACCCCTGTTCTACGCAGTTCACTAAGATTCTAAATTGGAATTTAAAAATCAAGTACCAAATTCAATAGCTCACCTCTGGAAACACATAAAATGAAAACATTACTCTTTTGCTGGCAGTTTTGCTATACTATGGTAACCCATACAGTTTGATACACAAACTGTAACTTGACACTATAATTGGACAAACCAAATGATATAATAGCAATATAGCTCTGTGCAGCTTAATAAGCATTCTGATACCTCATTCAATCCTTACAATTTTGAAAAGTAGATTATTTCCCTCTGCCCATTTGAAAGCTGAAAAATACAGAAGCTCTGGGTATGATTTACTTGGCCAGGGTCACCAAATTAGTAAATGAGAGAATTAGAGCTGTACTTATTATAGTTCATATATAATATATCAGGGGTCCTCAAACTTTTTAAACAGGGGGCCAGTTCACTGTCCCTCAGACTGTTGAGGGGCCGGACTATACTTTAAAAAAAAACTATGAACAAATTCCTATGCACACTTGCACATATCTTATTTTGAAGTAAAAAAACAAAACGGGAACAAATACAATATTTGTATTTGCATGTGCCCGCGGGCCGTAGTTTGAGGACCCCTGTAAGATATATTATGTAATATACAGAAAATAACTATCCAGTATATAGAATATTCTATTGCTGATATTAGTACATAAGAAATATACTACCTGTCTCTAAATCTGAGCTATTGACTTTTTAAAAAAGTTTAATCTACATTTGAATATCTATTGTAACTGAGGGAGACTTAAATGTTTTACAAATGGTATCACATATCCCCACATTTTAGAAAAACTTAAAGCAAAATCTTTCTCAAAATAAAGCTGAGTAAATACTGAGTCCTGGCTGGATAGTTCAGTTGGTTAGAGCGTTATCCTGATACTCCAAGGTTGTGGGTTCGATCCGGGGTCAGGGGACATACAAGAATAAACCAATGAATGCATAAATAAGTGGGACAGCAAACTGATATTTCTCTCTAATTTTCATTCTCTCTCTCTTAAAAAAGCAAACTGATAATTAATGGTCCACAATGAGTAAGAAATATTCCCTATTTTCACAAATAGAAATTCTAGACTTATAATTATTTCAAGATAACCCGGTTGGGTTATTTCATTAAATTTATTTTGACACTGCCAGATTTATGTCTCTGTTATAAGCTTTGCGATGGGGGAACATTCAAAAGCAAGAGAAGAAAGCATTAATCATCCAGAACATCTGTCATTCTTAAGCAGCCACTCTCTTTGAGGTGCAGGCTATCCCCAATGTGGTCTCCTAACAGCAAGATGGAGGGGTAGTAACAGAGGCCTTAGCCTTGCAAAACTATCTTATTGTCAAAACTGACAAATCCAAGCCCTACTAAGCAGCTCATTTAGAGATCATTCTAAGCAGTTCACTAATATTCTAAATCGGAATTTGAAATCAAGTACCAAATTCAATAGCTCACCTCTGGAAACACATAAAATGAAAACATGACTCTTTTGCTGGCAGTTTTGCTATACTATGGTAACCCATTCAGAAAGAGTGAGTTTTAATTTAATTCCACAACCACAAAACACATCACGGTTGAACTGGCAGTCAAGAGGAAACACAAAGCACCACTCGCTAACTGGTTTCTTGTGATGGTTGTGCCTCCTCGACATCTCTTTTTCTATGGGAGGGATGTGGAAAAGGAACACTGACATTTCTAAAACAAGCATAGGACTTGTGCCTTACACACAAAATAATACATGACTGATTTTTTTCTTGGGAATATACAATGCATATTTTCATTTAATTTTACTGAAAGCCACAAAAAAGGAAGAGCTATAGAATAGTTTTGAGGATACAGTACTGCCACAAATGTGGGTGGTGGATAAACAATGAGTGAAGAAAATGAACTCCTAATAGGTTTAATGTGTAGTTAAGACTGAATACATGATGTAAAATATCTGCAAAATGCTGAGCACATTTTAATGGCTGCCACATCCTCAAAACAGCATCACCTGTCTGTCCCCTTTAAAGCACCAGCTGGGCAATAGCCAGGTTCTCAGTGGTTAGAGCGTGGGCCAGTGGACTCAAGGGTCTTTGGTTTGATTCAATGAAAGGCACATATCTTGGTTGCAGGCTGGATCCCCAGTCCCTGTTGGGCTGCATGCAGGAAGCAACCGATCAATCTCTCTCTCTCTCTCTCTCTCTCTCTCTCTCTCTCT